GGTCAGAGACAAAACATAAGTCAAGGAGTGGTAAATGATTAGGGTTGTCAAGAAAACGAGTCACAAAGTTAACTATCTGAGTAAAAGATTGAGAACCGCAGAAGTTAAAGGCTTTATTGCCAGCAGGATCAGTGGTGTTAGAGCCAAGCCATTCAGTGTGATGGGCATTAAAATCACCAACAACAACAATATTGGCAGAGGGGTAGAGAGAGAGGGCATGGTCAATTTGATCAGAGATAACATCTAAAAGAGTGCAATCATGAGAAGAAGGAGAATATGTAATATATAATACCATGAATATAAATAATATAGCATTAGCAAGCTTATCACAAGTTTGAGAAATACTACAGAAATAGCAACTGATGCCCTTATTGATGCTAAAATTATCTCTGAAATTATCTCACTTGCTTATTACTTACCGCTTAATTATTGACTACAACAAAGTAAAGTGAGCTCAAGAAAAAATTAGAAAAGAGTTGAATTCAAAACTTTAAAATAGACTAAATAATAATGGTTTGAGTTGTATTTTTTTTATGTTAGAAAAAACAACACATTTTTTTGATTTTAAAGGCAGAAAATTCCCCAGTTTAATAAAAAAGAACATCATACTGTGTGCAGTGAACCTGGTGGAAAATATCTATTTCATTTTGTTCCTGAAGAATCAGATTTAAAAAATCCTACAGACAAGGCCGGCGCGATAGGGGTGTGTGGGGGGGTGTGACACACACACACCCCTTCCCCATCATTAATGATTTTTAGTTGGCAAACTGGACCCTTAGTCGGCAAATCAGACTCTTTTAGACTAGTTAGTCGACAAATGTCGACCCTTTCAATATAGGTTAGACAGTCGGCAAATGTCGTAATGGCAGTCGGCAAATTTTGGAAAACTAGGACTTTTTTTTTTTTTTTTTTTTTTTTGTCGGCAAAAGTTGTAACGGCACCCTCTCCCCCCACGTGACACCTACTCGCGCCGGCTCTGCCTACAGAGATAATTGCCAATCATTTTATTAAAGAAAGAAAGATGTTTACATTTGTCATTGGAAGTGATATGTTGTGACATGTTGTGATAGTACTAATTTAAATACTGGATGGGCAGTTATCACAGGAGTAAAACAATGAGTTGAAAAAAAGCTTAATCAAAAACTTGCATGGATTGTATGTGACCTGCACACTGGGGAACTAGGGTTAAGAAATCTTATTAAGTTTCTTGATAGTCCTACTAAAGCCAGAAATCATTAGTCAGGACCATTGAGTAAGATGTTGAATGATGCTACCAACATTAAAATTAACCTAGATTTTTAAAAAGTGTGTGAAAACTCTCCACTTATCTACCTCAGTCCTGTCATTATCAAAGATCTAACCATCGATCAGATTTATGCTTAACAAGTTGTGACATCTATTAAAACTGTTGTTCTGCTTAAAAGATTAGCATTACTAGAAATTGGTCCTTTTTGTGATAGTAGATGGCTAACTACTACTTTAAAGTTTTGCAGAGTCTGGGTTTCTAAACATGGGTTAACAGGTGACCTTTTAAATAGGTTGAAAATGGTTGTGTATATTCCCAACTGGATTAACATTAAAGTAAATTCGTGCTGGGTAGAAGGAACAATCAACTTACTTAAACAAATGCAATAACTAAAAAATCTAACTTAGGAGGTAAGTGAGTTCTGCAAAGTATGCTTGTAGTCAAATTGAAGATAAGAGAAAAGAAGCAGTTAATAAAATAGTTGAATTATGAGGAGCAGGGAGTGATGCACTTCAATTTAGAGATCTTTTAGGGTTTAAAAGACTCCTGCCATCATTATGGAAGCAACCTGTTTGTCTGAACTTAGACTGGAAGTATCATGCTGAATCATCTTTAACATGTAATTTATCAACTGAAGCAGTTAAAGAATTTATTAACACTCCAATGAAAGTAATAAAGTTATAATATGTACACTCATACACTCTCATACACTGTTGAAAGATGTGTAAAAATGACATCTGAAAGTGTTGGTATGTCTTCGATCAGGCCAGAAAAAATACTTACATTCAAGATCAAATAGCTAGCAGATAACTTGTATCTAATAGTTCTAGTAAGAAATATACACATGTATAATATACATGTATATATGTGTGTTTGTATTTTTTTTATATAAGTATATATATATATATATATATATATATATATATATATATATATATATATATATATATATATATATATATATATATACTTGTATATAGATAAGATTTTTGAAAAGTATTACAATTTAATAGCAAAGCATTATAAATTGTAGGTTTTTCAACTTGTAAAACACACAGTTAATAAATGATTTTAAATCATCATTCTTGTATAATCCAAAAAAATATAAACATTGCGAAAATGAGAGTGTATACTTAAAATATAATTGTGTTTTACACCTTGTTTATTAAACTAAATTTTAATATGCACCATTTTGCTCACAAAATTAAATTTTAGTCTACCGCATGGTTTGGTAAATAAATGCGATCTTCAGAGATTCTTCGGCAAACTTCATTTTCAAGAATAAAAACAAGTCCAAAAAAATAATAATTAAAGGGTGAAAAAAAGTAGCTTAGAAATTTTTTCTTATTATCTTATTATTTTCTTGTTTTGCATACTGGTTTACAAAAAAAAATGCTAGCCATCATCAAATTTCAAAAAAAAGGTGAAAATCAACACAATCTTCAATATAAAAGAAATACCTGAAGAAGTACAACCTCAAATATTAACCACATATCAAACAACTCCCCAATTCCTAAAAACAATTCTAAAAAAGTTTCTGAAGCATGGCTCCTTAGAGTCAAATCTTCAATTTACTTGAAGGTTTGACCTCAATAAGGGATGTCAGTTGCTCTCAAATAGGGATTTGGTTTGCTACTTTGTTTTTCTCAATCATGGATCCTGGATCTAGAGAGACAAAAGAATAATATTAAAAAATTTGATATATTGGATATCGAGAAGTTTTGGAAGCATCCTGGGCTATCTGAGCTTGGAATTCCAAACCAAAGCTCAATAAATTAGTTTTGCAATACAAAAATTTTCAAAAAGAAAAATATAAGAAATATTTTCCTGCTGAGAGTGCAAATCTTTTTTCAAATATTTGATATAGCACATTAAAATGCTATTTATATTTTTTAATAAAACAGATGTAGGAACAGAAAGATAATAAATGATGTCAATTTTTAGAAAATTGAAGAACATGTCAAAAAACTGAGTATGATCTTGATAAGTCACATTACTCAGAAATTATGAGAAAGTGTTCTATAATAAAAAAGTGTTCTATAATGAACAAGAAACAGTTTCTTTGATGGAAAAGAAAAAGCAACAAAAGAGTTTTTCACTAAAAAAAAGATAAATTTGTTCTTTTGATTCAAGTGATGAATTTGATGCTGAATTTGCTAAAATTAAAATTGATTCAACTAAAGATCCTGACTTTGTAGTTCCTTTAGCTAGTGGTGTAGAAGGTATAGCAATCCATACGAAAACTCACTTCAAACCTACCCAGAAATCCATTAAAAAGCAATAAATTATCATTTCTTGGATTCTTAATCTATCAGCTGGTCAACAAATAGCAATCATAGAAGCAATTCTTAAATAAGGTGGAGTTTCTTTGAAAAAAGCAACTTCTTTAACTAAAAGCACACGTAAAGCAGGTCAAAAAGTAAGGAAATTATCAGCAGAATCAATTAAGTTCAAATTTAATGTACCAAAACATTTAACTGTATATTGGAATGGTAAACTGGTTCCAGACTTCAAAAATAAAAAAAAAGGAAAGGTTAACTGTTCTGGTTTCTGGCATGTCAGACTTTAAAGAAGGCTAAGTTCTTGGAATCCCAGTAGTCATAAACACAATAGATGAGGAGTGACCTAGAGCTACATTTGAACTTGAGAATGAGTAAGACATTTCAGGTAATGCGATGATAGCTTTTTTTTCAACACTACAGCAAGTAACTACATTTTAAAAAATGAGATGGTGTTTGACTAGAAAAGTTGATGTTAATACTTATTAGCGATAGACCTAAAAGAAAAATGCATTTGCTGAAACCATGAGCAACTCATCATGCTGAATGGATGTCATCAATTTTCAATCTATGAATTAACCAAGTTGTTGAATTTCACCTCAAAGAAATTTCAATCTAAAAATAACCTAAAATTTTGGACACATATTTTGCCAAAACGAACAAGATAGGAGGGATGAATTGTGTAATTAAAAAATATATATTAAAGTCATGAGTATCAAAGGTCACCAAAAAAAGACTTAAAGAGGGAATAGTTTCATACTTCAATTTTTTTGATAATACTTTTATAATAAATACTTTTTTTATTATTTATTTTAATTTTTGCATTCTTTTAACAGACAACAGTTTTTAAACTTGTCTCACAAGACATCTTGACATTTTTTGATATATTTCAATAATATCTATTTTTTGCTAATATTGATATTTGCTCATAATATTTTGTTTCATATTTTCATAAAGTAGGTATAAGAAAGTTCTTATTTTTATGTTTTACAGTATTTTTATATGTATTTAATATGTATTACAATATTTTTTTAAATATTTTTTCACATATTCTTCATTCTGCCTATTTTTAAGAGGAATCTTTTAATAACAAAGAAACGTGGTTTAAATGTTGTTCTTTACTTTGCTTATATAATTTCGTTATTCAAATAATTAATTTCATTAAATTAATGCTAATTATGTGTAAACATTGTTTACTGGTATTTAATTTTTTATTTGTAGTATCTTGAGAGTTTTTTTTAGAAATTCAGCTTTATATGATTATTAACATGCATACTGTTACTAATTATTAAGTAGTAAAGATTTTGTTTGCTAATACCAAAATTTTGTTTATAGCAAGTTATAATTTTGTATATTCTAGTATTTTGTATATTCTAGTTTTGTATATTCAAGTTATAATTTTGTATGTATAATTAATTCTTTGCATTAAACTTATAAAGTTCTAAGGTTTGTGTTAGTTACCTATAAATATTTAGGGTAAGCAATGGTGGAGAGAAGGAACTGATCCTTGGCAAACTTTAGTTGCATGTATAGAGATAACAAATGCTTTGCGCTCTCCAGATCCATCTTCTTATGTCACTTATGCTCCTGTTCATATGGATGGCTCTTGTAATGGTCTTCAGCATTATGCTTCACTTGGACAAGACAGCTACGGAGCTAGGTTTTTTTTTTTTAGTATATTTATTAATACATCGAGAAAGTTTCATTATTTAACCAAAACTTTTAACATTAGACAGGTAAACTTGACACCTGCTGACAAGCCACAAGACGTTTATTCAGAAGTAGCACTTTTAGTTGAAAAAGCGAGACAACGTGATGCAAGCAAAGGTGATACTTTAGCGAAAGAGCTAGATGGTATGTTTTACTTGTAGATTTTTTTCGTTTTTTTTTAATTCAGACAAATAAATATCACTTAATTATTATTAAGTGATATTTATTTGTCTGAATTTTTTGTTATATTTTTTTCCTACCCTACTGTTATTTTTAAACAAACAAATTAACATAGCAAACAATCAATTGTATTAACAATGAATTAATCATTATTTTAGTGTTTGTAATTCAATTTACTTTTTTTTTAAAGTTTTATCACTTTCAAACATTAGTCTCAAATATCTTAAAATTATGACAATGAAAAGTAATATTTTTAAATGTTAAGGCATTTTTCAGGAAAGATCACAAGAAAAGTTGTAAAGCAAACTGTTATGACCGTGGTGTATGGAGTCACCTTTGTAGGTGGGCGTTTGCAAATTGAAAAACAATTGAAAGAAATGGGTGTTAGTAATGATATTATATTTAAGGCGTCTGTATATATTGTGAAGGAAGTGTTTAAAAGCCTTCAGGAGATGTTTACTTCAGCCAGGCAAATTCAAGTATGTTTTTGTTGTATGTGCGTTTATTTCAATAAAGTTAAATGTTAATTTTATTGGTAATAACAAATTTTTCAGGACTGGCTCACAAATTCAGCTTCTCAAATTGCACTAGCTGGCCATTGTGTTGATTGGGTTACTCCTATGGGTCTTCCAGTTGTTCAGCCCTATCACAAAGAAACTACAGAAAGGTTCAGGACCAAAATACAAACTGTTTGTTCTTCTCACAAATTTGACTACACACAAATACCACACTTGACTAAACAAAAAGGTGGGTTTCCTCCCAATTTTGTTCATTCTCTAGATTCTACTCACATGATGATGACATCGTTGCGTTGTGAGCAGGAAAAAATGACATTTGCATCAGTACATGATAGTTTTTGGACACATGCTTGTGACATAGATAAACTTAATGAGTTTTGCAGGCAGGAATTTGTTCATCTACACGAGTTGCCAATATTAGAAGATCTTAAAAATCACTTTGATAGAAAGTTCTCTGGTTTGCCGTAAGTATAAACATGTTGTAATTTTAAATGTTCCATTACAAATCTAGATTATTATTTTTATTTTTTTAAGGTAAGGGTGTTTGCTACATATTGCAGCATGTTTTATTGTGCTTGAGGACTTCACAAGATGTCTCACCTTTACCCCAAGGACTTTGAGTAAAGATTGGGTTTCTAACTTACTGCCAGCAAAAATTGTTTGCAAACCTAATATCTTTAGGCTCCTTTAATGTTAAAACCAATAAATTGAATTTTTGCTTTATTGACATATTTACATTTAATGACCAGCATAGCAAATTATTAATTTCTTTCTTTGAGAGGTCATTTGCAAACAACATGATCTAATTCTGATGTGTCCTCAGCATTTAAGTTTAAAAGACTTCTGGGTTTTTCATTTGTCAAGTATTGATGTTCTGGTGACTACTTTGACTACAAGGTGAAAAATAAATAAACGTAGCATCAACTACTAAGGATCTTTACCTACAATATGGACCAAAAGATATAATTTAGAGTGACACCAGGAACAATTAACTTTTGAGAATCTTTAATAGTTAAACAAAACAAAATAAAAAACTTTTTTTTTGACTATACAAATTTAGAACAATTTAAAGAAATTGTTCTTTAAATTGTTCTAGATTAAATTGATCAAAAAAACAATTTTTTATTATTTTGTTTTATTTTTTAACATTGTTGCATCAGAGAACAAAGACGGAGCAGCAATCAAACATCATTTGCAAAAACTATTTTTTAAACTTTTTATTCCAATTAAAAAATTTCATTCACAATGAGAAATACTTATTCATTCAACCACATGTTAAATGTCCAAATAACTATAAGTTTCATAACATTGGTTTAAGGCTCATGCACAATAGTAAGTTGAGTAGAATTAAATCTTTTCTTGAGGGTAGGTATTTATCACTGCTTTTTTGAGGGTAGGTGTTAATCACTGCTTGAGCACAATCATCTTTATTATCTTAGCAGGATTATAAAGCAGTTAATACAACAGGGCTGACGATGCCAGGGGGCGATTATTTTTCTAATAGGCCTTTTTTTTTTTTTAAAGAGAAAACTCTGATATAGAGGACTTTTTTTAGTAATAGATTATTTCCCCCCTCCATTTCAAAACTCCTGTCGTCGGCCATGTGCAATGATAACGTAAAGAAGTGAGGTATGTGGTATTAATTAGTTTTTGTAATCAAAATGATATGAACTTTTTTTCCAGAGAGTTGCAAACTTAAATTAAGTTTCTATTGTAAATTAGCAGTATGATGATAAATACTGTGTTGCAATCTTTTGCTATTGATTATAGTTTCTATTTATTTGTGCATAATTTTTTTTTTCTTTATTACCACAACATGTTGCAAATAAAAAAATGCTATTAAAAAATTTATTAGTGCAATCATCGGAAAATGAGTATTTATTATTTCACATTTATTATACTTACATGCTTTATAAAGATATTTTTTAATTATAGAAATTAAGTTATTTTAAGTTAATTAGATGACCAGGTTTTGATTTTAAAAGGTTTATGTAATATATAGTTTCATTATAAGAATATTGTACCAATCTTTTATGGCAGAAATATCTGAAAATGGCAGATAATTATAAAATTTTTGTAATTTAAAATGTGTCTTTGAGTCAAAATGTTGTTTATTTTATTATTAACAATAAGGAGGAAAAAAATTTACATTATAAAGAATGAAAATAAAATATTTTTAAGAGGTATTGTAAATACTATAATCTCTTTATTATCTCAATGTTTAAAAATTATGATCTTGTAAAGTTTATATTTATATTTATTATATATCAAATTTCTTGCAAAAGTTACTTGGTAAAATTTCACTCAATATTATGATCAAGTTAAGTTTACAGATTTCTCAAATTAAGGTTTACAATCTCAGTTTATAATATGGTCATAACTTTAGGTTTACAATCTCAGTTTATAATATGGTCATAACTTTAGGCTTACAATCTCAGTTTATAATATGGTCATGACTTTACATGGTCATTCTTTCAGAACATTAAGAAATAGTTGAATGAAAATTAAAATTTAATGATGAACATATATTTAGTTTACATTATTCAAAAAATTTTAAAGCAAGAGGGGTAACATTTTATGCTTTTTGTTATCAGGCTTAAAAAGCTGAGATTCAAGTTATACATCATCGTCAGTTATAGATATGAATATACTAGAGTTCAATTAAAAATATAAATCTTATGATGTTTTAACATTTTTATCAAATCTGTTTATATTTTGGGGAACTGTGGATAATCTATAATCTAATGTAATTATATAAAATTATAATGTAATTATATTGTTGTATAAATATATTTTCTGTAAGGTTTTTACTTTTTTAATTGTGATTTATTATTTAGTCTTCGTAAAGCAGTTCATGGTTCATCTGTTGCTAGCTTTAACCCACTTCCAAAACCAGGTATATTTTTAATTATTTGTATATACATATATTTGTAAGGTTATTAAAAATAATAAAAATGTATGCTTGGGTATCCATTGAACAAACAGCCAGGTTCCCGTTAAAAAAACAATATTTTTAAAAAAGTTGTCCTGATAAACAGTCAATAAATGTTTTTTATTCAATGGCGTTATTTATTTAGAGCTGTTCTTTCTCATTTTTGTTTTCAGTGTCCAGGTTACTTAAGTCCTAATTAAAATTTAGAAATACTAGCATGTCCATGGTTTCAGGTGCGAAAGATACATGTTGTCTATAGACTATATAAGAAACTCAAATAACTTTCCAAACATTATGTTGAATGTTTTCAGAAATTCTGGTCATAAAAAAATCATAGCTGTGGAAATGTTTAACAAGATCTTGTAGATCTTTTTTCACATACTAAGACGTGTCATACATACTAAGTTAATATTGGTAAATTATAATATTGTTAAATAATACTATGATTAATGATTTTTAACTTTAAAAATGAATAAATTATACTTGCATATGTGTGTGTATATATGTCTGTGTCTCATATGTGTGTGTTACATATGTGTGTGTTGCATATGTGTGTGTATCACTGCTGACTAAAGGTTGGATGATTGATTAACTAAAGGTTACAAATTGAGATAACCCAAGGTACATTTATTGATTGATGGTTATGGTCTGGCTGTAAGTGAGGAAGTAATGATACAGATTTAATTCAGCAAAAGAACTTTTTTTTTTTTTTTTACTATTATTGTTATCATTTTTATCTTTTTCTCAAAAATTGAAATTTTGAAGCACAAATTCCTTCATAGACTATATGTTTATAAATAAATATATATTTGAATTGATCGGTCAAAGCATTCAGTATCAACAAATTTTATAATTTTTTTTACTGGTTTTTCATATTCAGTTGACTTAAATGCAACATACATAATTTGTTATACATAAGTCAACTCATTATGTTTAAAAACCTCTTTTTAAGTAGGAAGTTTAAATGAGCTATAATATATGTTAGAATTTTATTTCATCAAAGTTTTAAGAATCAAACTATTTTTTGTTAGTATACACATACTTAGTGCTGGTTTGATTTTCAGATGAGTTGTCTTCTTCTTTCTTTGTTTTTACATCTAATACCACCATGGTTGTCTATTTTTTTAGAGTCTTTAAGAATTTTAATAATTTAATGAAATCAATCTTTGATTTATGCTTTTTATTTTTTTTGGATTTGTTTTGTTTTTTAGAACAGTGTGTGCTACACTTATTACAATGTTTTTTTTGTTTTTTTGAATCCAATATGAATCAAAACAATTAAAGTCTCATTCTCAGTTTCTTTTTTCTTTTTCTTTTTTCTTTTTTTTTTAAAAAAAAGTTAACTTCCAACAAGGCTGCAAGCAACATTTAAGTTTGAACAGAATGAAGAGAGTTAAAGAGAAGTTGACAGAAGGTTTCTTCGAGAAGAAGTTGATACGTAGATGAGTTTTTTCCGGGAATTTCAGAAATTCACTTTTAATTTTCCAGAAATTTCCGGATGTTTTTTATCATTAATTTGAAAAAAAAAATTATATATTTTTTTATAATATTTTAAATACGACAACTTTTGCATTTAAACAAATATTTTCTGTAATCAAAATTTTTCAAGATCAATTTTTGTAACAATTTTTTTACTTTTTTTTTTTTTTTGCTTTTTAATTCATTCAAATTAACTTTTTAGAATATTAGAAATTGCTTTTTGTAAAAAGTTAAATATTCTAAATTCTGTTTTAAAAGTTTACGAAAGTTTCTGTTGTCTGTCACAGGGTTATTCATTCTTATAAGCGCGTCTATTCAATTTTATGTGCGTATTTATTCATTCTTATATGGGTTTTAAAAAAGCAATAAGAACAAAAAATCATTCAAGCATTTTGTTTTAAAAACACAATTTACTTTTTTCAAAACAAATTTTTCTTATTTTCTGGTAAACGAGGTTAAAAATACTTAAAACGAAGGCTTTTTACATTCCATGATGGTTTATTTAATTTAGTATCGGTTCTTTGTTTAATTTTATTACATTATTAAATTTCTTGATTGATTAAATTATTATTTATCTAATTATTCATTTATATAGATTTAAATTCATTTATTTATAATTAATATTAATATATATCTATATAAAAATTTAAAAGCCTATTTATTGTTTATACTAAGTTATATTAGAGATTTTATGGGTGGTTGACTCGCATATAAATGCGCATATAAGAATGAATAAACAAGCATATAAGAGTTAATAAATGCCCATGTAAGAATGAATAAATGTGCATATAAAAATGAATAAACACGCCTTTAAGAGTGAATAAATGCGCATATAAGAATGAATAAATGCTCATATAAAAATCAATAGACACGTATATAAAAATGAATAACCCTGTAAAACGATCAATTTTTAAATAAAAAAATTTCCAGGATTTTCATAGAAAAAAATTTCTGGGAATTTCAAAAAGTCAAATACTCATCTATGTTGATAGGAGGCTTTAAAAAAATGTAAATTGTCTACATCAGGAGAGACTTTCAAAGTTGTTTAAGGGGAAAAACTTGACAATTGAAAAATGTTTTGAGTATAAAAGAACAGTTCTAGTAAAAGAATGCAACTTAGCTAAAAGAGAAGTTTATCATTAGAGGTTGCAGCCTAAATATGACAACAGTATTTTATGGGAAGAATGAGACAAATAAAAATATGGGATGAGGTAGAGAATAGAATCAAGAGTAAGGCAAGCAGGAATTAGGGGAGAGTTTAATCATGATTAAAAATGATGAATTCAACAACATGTTTGGAAATGATGAATTTATGACGTCCTTTATGGATGGCCCCTTTGTTAGAAAACATGTTTTAAAAATGATGAATTCAACAACAAGAATGTTTGAGACAAATACTACATATAAATAAATCGATCTTTATTGTTTTTAGTGCGAAGAAGATAACTAATTTGTTACAAAATATTTGATGCCATTTTTTTTTGGCCAGCAACTCTATGTCATAATAAAAGATGCGAATTATTATGGGATTATCTTTTTTGTGCTGAGTGAGGGTGCAAGCTGAGTTTACATTTTGAGGTTACATGCTGAGTGAGGGTGCAAGCTGAGTTTACATTCTTGGTTTCCAAAAAATATCAGATAACAAAAATTAATTTACTGTAGAGCAAATAAAGCTACCCAATGAAACATTGATAAAGTTGTAAGACAGAACAAGATATTTTATTAATGACACGAACATAACTTTTTGTGCAATATATTTTTATAGATCACATATATATACTTATAAAGCTGACATAATTTTGTTTTGTTTTTTATTATTAAAAAATGTTGACATAATGTTACAAGTTCTACAAAAGTTCTGAAAATAATAAAAATGTTTTTTGATAAAGAAAAGTTTTAAATTTTTTTTTGGCGGGAATCTAGCTTAACCACACTTAACAAATATATTTTTGCACTTTTTAATTTTATTTTTTTATTTTTTAAACCAATAGCATTAAATAAACCAAAAAAAGTGAATTTAATTCCTTAACTAGACTGTAATTCCTTCTTGAAACAAAAAGTCCTTCTTTGAAAAAACTTTGTAAAAAAGTAAAAGTACTAGTATAAATCTCATTAAGGTTTAAAAAGCTTATTTAGAAAACAATTATATTTTGAGTTTATAAATATATATATATATGTAAATTAGGGTGTCTTAAATTTGCACTTTTTTTTTAATTTCTATGAGCACGCAGTTTTTTCTCCATTCTCTAGTGTCCCCTGATTGCAAATATATATTTAAAAAAAAGAATTTTCAAACCACATTTTAGCAATATAAAAAATTCCATTTTTTGTTAAAAACCAAAAAATATGTATTTCAGAAATAATAAATTTTACATTTTTTAACTGGGACTTGGAAAGATCTTTTTTAGGCTTTTTTCTATTGTCCCTGGCCACATGCATTAAATTTTACATATTGTCAGGATTGCATCCCACCTACAAAGTCCTGAATAAGGCGTATGTTTCTCTCTGCACAATTGTTGACACAATTTAAATTTTTAACAAACTTTTTAAATAAATCTAATGACTTCGTGGCTTTTTCCTTTCCCCACAGCTCAATTTCACCATCAGGGACTTCTACAATTTTTAACAGGAGTTAACTTTCTGGATCTACCAAAAGCATAGTGGGCTCCGAAATGATTGATAGCTCAGGTTTTCCAATCTCGATTATGTCACAAATATAATACTGAACTAATTTACCCAACATCTCTTTCTTCACTTCATGCTCTACATCTTCATTAGCCAGAGATAGCAGCACCAACTGCTCAGTCAAGTACCAATTATGTCTTTGCATACTAGCAACCAATGCTAAACCAAGATTGGAATATTTATCTTTGATGCCAAAAGCATTCTTGAAAGTGGCAAGATCGTTTTAAGGTGATTTTGCAACCAAATACGACTTTAGAAACCAAGGGGTATACTAAAAAGATGTGAAGAAGGCTACTGTCTCTATTATCTTTTTTTTTTACTTTCCTTATAGTCATAGTGATCATAGATGTCTGTTATTTTCTGGGTAAGAATGTATAAGAATAAGCATAAGCCATAAACCTAAAGAGTAAGATTTTTCATCATTAATATTTATTAAATTTTTTTATTGATATGGTATCTATTATACTTACGCATTTATTATTTTAATATACTGTACCTAGCTTCGTGGCAGACTCCAGGTTGATGGAAACAAAATCCAGGTACTTCTCCCAAATAGAAAACAAAAAGTTTGCATAGGTTCCTGTAATCACTCATCACAAAAGTTTTTGAGGCAAGGGCCTCTTTTCCACACTCCAGAGCTTTCTTAGCAATTTCATAAAGGAGTGACTCATAGGGTGAAGCATATGTCTTCTACAGAGAAATCATATAAGTGGAATATTAGGAATGGAGCTAAGGATAACAACAGCTCTAGAATGTATTCCAGTATTGGATGCCATAGTGTCATAGCAAACAGCAAATAT